TCAAAAATAAAAAAAATTAACATGAATGGTGGTAAATTACTTTTATTTAAAAAAACATATTTTTCATGCAACATACATAAGTACTTTTCCACATAGGTGTGCTAAGAAAATAATAATTATAAACCACTAACCAGTATATAATATACATACTTATACATAAATATTAAATTTATTGGGCTACAGCACACTATAATGACGTCAATAATATATATCTGAAATGTTTTCAATCTCTCTGACAGGAAATATCAAGGTTATTCCTTAAGAAGATAAACAAGTGCTTACTTATTTTAAAATAAAATAATAAAATTTTCGTCCGAAATTTATTTATAAAATGCATATACTAAAATGAAAAGTTATGCTAGGTCCAAAATTTTTTTTATATTTATTTTATACATTGTAGGAAAGCGAATTTTAGTTGCTAAACATCTACCGTTTTTTTTTGCATAATTGCAAAATTCTATTACCGTTCTGTTGTTTGTTATATTATTAGAGATTTTTATAATCACAATACCTTAGCAATATGTAACAAAAATTGCTCTGTATTAATGTTCATTAACGAAATTCTGTCAATTAATTTTGCTAATCATGAAGAATCTATAACTTATTAGCAACATGTAGTAAATTTGAATTGTTATTATTGTGGCGAACGCAGTCAAATTAGCCTTTGGTTGCTTGCAGCTGCCAAAATTATATTGCATACGTATAAATCACGTTTATATTTTGTGTTTATGAAAGTCTCTAGCTCAAATTATATGCATAAATGTTCATACATACTAATATGTTTTTATATACATACACATACTTGCATGCACTATTCACCTCTTCCCAACAATAATCCATCTTGTAAATGACACAGACCGAAATGTATGTGCCCAGATAATATATCTATGGGTATATTATATGAATTTAATTAACAAAATTAATAAATTGTTTTTATTTAATTTTTTTAAAAGTTTATCAGATCTTGTTTCAGAGACAATTTTCTCTATTTTCAATTTTCTCTCAATTTTCGCTAACGAATCAAATACACATATGTATATATATGTATTATGGTATGTAAACAGTAAGACAATGTTAAATAAATAAAGACATATTTTATATCATATACATATGTATGTATGCACGCAGTTGTCTCGATTAGATACATTTACTTGTAAATTAAAAATACAACCAACATTTTTGTATCATATTACCAAATATATATATGTGTACGAATGTATATTCTCAAACTCATTTTAAAGCGCATTAATATTGTCTTTAGCAGAAGTAAAATTAAAAATAATTTAAAAAAATTTTTGACAATTCTTATGACATTTGCCATTTTAAGCCGTAACTCTTTTACAGAGTACGAATAACTATGTATACACGTTTACATTTGTACACAAATTATTCCAAACTAATTTATTTACGAAACGGAAGGATAAAAATTAACTTAGTAAATAATAGAAAATAAACATTGGTTTCATAAATACACACGCATTTACAAATTTTATTTTATTTCGATGTCGTATACAATATGCATGCGTACTTACAATATATTGCGTACATATGTCACTTGTGTTTATACTTATATACAGTAGTTCCCATGGAAAATTTGACAAAAATTTTAGTTTAAAACCTGTGACATTAAACAGTTAATATTCCATTGTTTAATCACCTCTACAAATTCATGTTCAATTGACAATTAGATTGTGACAGTTCTGTATTATACATAGTAGGAAAATATGGTTCGATTAGTACGCGAATTTGAGAAAAGTGTAAAGAAATTTTTTGTTCTAATTTACTTTAAAAAGGGAGAATAAATTGGTCATATACATAAAACAAAATTCTTGCGAATTTACCAGCTAAAGAAAATTCTATAATCTGGCGGAATTCTATAAAATAGCGAATAAAAAGCATGTGAAATTAATGAATCATCAAATATTAATTTGATATGAAACATATCAAATTAATTGGTTTTTACCAATTCTAAACCGAACTTCTATAAAAAGAATGCGATATTAGTATTAGACTTTCCCATAAAATATGATTTTTCACTCTATGCCTCAATATAGAACAAATTTTTTTTGTTGCAATATTCTTATTCAATTTTCTTATTCATTCATATCAATAAATTCTTTTTTTTTGCATATGTATCTATACAAAAATCATTTTAAAAGTTAATTATTTCAAAGCAAGTTTGAGCCCGGGATCTTTTGATTTAAACTCCCAAAAAATCTTTCCAGACGGAATAAAAGAAAATTATAGACTTATACCGGTTATTCTAATTGGAATGAACACGAAGCCGAATAATTGTAGAAGCTTTGCTATTATATTGAGATGTTGATATAATAGAGCGAACGTATGCATCAAATATGTTTTCTACCGTACAATGATAAATCATATTCACAAATCTTTAAATTTATTTGTGAATACCACTGTATATTCACAAATAAATTTAAAAAATAAATATTTAATATAAAAATACATACATATGTATATTTATATACATAATAAATATGTACGTCTTCGCTTAGGTAAATAATAAAAAAGATAAACAAAAAATATTTTCTGTCTGAAATTTATAAGGGGGAATATTGTACAACATTATTCCTCTTTTACCTTTACTTTACAAAATCCTAGGATTCAAAAGTACACTTATGTATTTACCTACATAAATTTATGTATGTATGTACATAATAGAAGCTAGATGAAATAAAATTATTGGATTGTTGATTTTTATCCTTTATGGAAACAAACATGAAAAAACAAAGTAATTTTTTTGAATAAATTTTAGAAAACATTTTTGTTCAAAAGAATTTCAATGATTAAAATTTTCATTTATGTACATACATATGTATATGTATTACAAAATAAGGCTTGACAGTAATTGACATGTTACTACCATGTCAGAATCAAAATATGTTTTTGCCTTAAATTTCAATGGAATTAAAATTGTATTACTTCTATATACGTATATACATACATAGGTACTTATTTAATTTTTTTAAAAGAATTTCAACTTTAATAACCTAATTCTTAAAAAGAACATATGTAGGTATTCACGTAAAGAAGTACACAAAGCAAAAGTTCGTTCCATTGACATTTTATTAAACGTACAGAAAATTAGAGGGTAATTATATACTTACATACATACGAGTAGAAGTAACATGAAAAAATTATTTTGCAAAAATAATTCATAAATAAATAGCTATATAGTAAAATTTAATTAATTAATTAATTAATTTAATTAAATTGTGATTAAATTTTTTTAAATAAAAATAAAACAAGAATAAATAGCAAATATCTTTTTATACCTGTACGAACGTATGTTCAAAGAGTATACTAAATTTGCCTTACCGTTTGTAACGCTAAGAAATAATGGTCTGAGATATAGACTCAAGTGTATGTTTTTGATCAGCGTCAAAGCTTGTCTGTCCGTCTCTCCGTCCGTCCCAGCGATAACTTAAAAAACTAATTGAGTTAAGTTCACCAAATATTCACAAATGATTTAATGTAGTAAGTGCCAGATCCCTATTTAAATTGGACAGAATCGGGTAACTGGTTCCGGTAACTGTCATACAATTTGAAAATTTATTTGACTATGTCTTAGAAAGTTTTTGGTATTGAAATTTCGCATAAGTAAATATACTAGTAGGGTTGTTATGTGTGATAAAAATGATTGAAATTTCTTGGCTCTTTCTAGTAGCTGCCATATAACTTCAATAGTAGTTTGGCACACACAGTATTTTGAAAAATGCAGTACTGAAATTTTGCATAAATTATATGGTAATGCGGCAACTTAAAGTCATAGTCTGTCCTATAGTCAGCTATGGTATATTTATTCGCACATAGGATAAAAAAATTCGTACAGGTATCACAGAGTTGACACGGGAAACTCTATTTTTTCTCGTTTTAATTTAAATTTGTAAAATTTTCTGAAGATCACATATGATAAGAGCACATTATGTATATTTTATCAAAATAAGTTAACCCTTAACAATGTTTTTAAAGTCACTTTCTTTTGTCAATAACGTAATTTACAAGGACTGATCTTTTTTTTCATAGATTGTTGTATTTATTTTTAAAATATAAAATGTGAATTCGGCACCCTATTACACTAACCACACCTTTACTTTTGCTTTTCCATTTACTTTTCAAAAAAGTGTTTTTGGAAATTGTTATAGTTCATTACTATTATGCAATATATAGTTTGTTTCTAAAGTAGTATACATTTCATTTAAACAAGTTCAAAATAGAAACTCTTTAATAAAAGAACTGAAATGGAGAAGAATATAGAGAAAAAATTGTTTTCTAACAAAATGTCAAGAGATATCTTGAATTTTAAATATTACAGCTAAAATCCACTAGAAGAAGGATATCAAAAATTAAAAAAAACAAAAGGATTTAAAATAAAAGTTAATGTCAGCTGTCATTTTGTTATTGTAACTTTACCTTTGCTACATAAAAGCAGAAGAAGCAATTAAGTCTTTTTTTTTAATTTTAAAAACTAAAGTTAAAAGAAACTGTTATCATTATTTTGTTCCAATTTTATTAGCACGTTATACACCGACTATTTCTTCTTGTTTAATATCAAATTAAATTTTAAACTTCTTGTTTCAAATGTATATTTTTTATTTTATACATTAAAGTAACAGTTGGTTTGTGTATACTCCTGATAGAGGCGAGGTGAAACCACCTGAAGTGAACAAATATTATTTTAATATTATTTTAATGTTTATTCATCCCGCAAAAACATAACAAAAACTCTGTTCACTAATATTCTTACTTCTAAAACAAGGAAAATTCCTTTTAAAGCACATCATGGAAAAGCGCCCTACTGTGAATTTAGAATTCTAAACATTTTCAAATAAAATCAAATGTTGTTTAAAATTTATTGTATAAAAACCTTACATATTTAAATATGAGTATAAAATACATTAAAGTACACTCAGTTTCCAATTTTAAAAGAATAGAAGTTTTAAGTTAAAAATGAATTTTTTTTTAATTTCTTTTTACAGGATGGAAAGACTCAATACTCTCGATACCGAAAAAATGGCTTTCAACAACGGACTCACAAGAAAACGACGAATTTGGATTTCCTACTGTAAGTAAAACTATTACAAAAAAATATGTTAAATTATTCCTCCTTTTGAAGTCTACATTCAAACATCTCCAAAATCTATATAAAATATATTTGTTTAAATTTTTATGTTATTCAGGTTTTAAAATATCCAAGTTGTGATCCCAAGATGAGAAATATTTAAAGTTGTGATCCCAAGATGAGAAATTACGTACAAATATGCATACATGCAAAAATTCTATGAATAAATTAATGCTGGAAGGGGTACAAAGAAACGATTATTTATATAATATGAAAATAGTATTATATATTAAACTGTATTGTTAAAAAGAGAGTGTTTATGAGTGCGGACAAAAATTAGCTAATGCTTGCACTCTGTTTGAGATTCAATTGCAATTTAGCTCTAATTTGGATATTTATTTTCCGGCTCCGATACTAATATTTTTGCGGTTGACCGTTTTCCCGATTTATAGCTTTGCAACACATCTGATGAAATAATTCAGTTAAGATTTTGATTTACATTTTTTCCCTATTCGTTTATGCAAGATTTGAATGTTTATGTAAGAATTTTAGTTTCCGAGTTAATAACCAAATTGTTTTTGCAGCTACTAGAAGAACTCTTACAATTGCAATCAAATTTATAATATTACTATCAATGAAACAATGATTGTAATATTTTAAATAAAATAATTTTTTTGACTAACTAAAGTGGTAAAGATGAAGGAAAATAAATTTCGCACACAAAACCTTGTCACTTTTTTTTAAAGATCTGGGCTCTAAGGATGTACCCAAAGAAAGTCAAAATAAAGTGGGATCAAAGCAATGATTTGTAAAGAAGCACTTTTTCCTTGGACGAACGAGAATACTGTACTGCTTTTATTAATTTCTTTTATTCACATATCCAAATATGTCGATTTATTGCATACACTTAGGATGTGCAACAGAAAAAAATTGAAAGAAACTTTAACATAATGGTTGAATTGTACGGTTAAGTTAGTGAGTTAAACTGAATAATTATACTCTTTGATGGCATGGCATTTACTGTTATACTTTATCGTTTTTACAGAAATATTGAAAATCTTGAAATATGAGGGGCCGGAAATTCAAATTTTACTAATTTTAATATAATAGGTGATAAACTGGTGGAGTATAACGAAATAAATTATTTTTTGGTTTCAGGTTATTACGGCCCGGTAGAAAAACATGTCTTTTCTGCTTTTACTGAATATAAAAAATGTTTCTTTAAACAATAAAATGTTGATTGTTTCACTACAACTCTTAGAGAGGGGAGTTTATTAAAAATTTTTTTTTACCGAAATTTGGTGTTACTAAATATATGTGTATAAAATTTCAGATGTTTATGTCAAGGAGTATAGAAGTTTTGTAAACAGACACATGAACAGACGAACTGAGGGAACGAAAGAAAGGCAAAGTAAACTCCCAAGCATTTTTTTTCAAATTTTTTTTTCGAAAAGAACTAATAATTAAGTTAAATGTTAATTTTTGATGTTTAAATACAAAAATAAAATCATAAGTCCTTAAAAAATAGCGTAATGACAATTTTTATATTGAAGTGTAAATCCGAAAAAGACTCAAATACAGACAAAATGGAATGCAGTAGAATAAAATAAAAAATTTGAATTTGCTAAAAAAGAAATTAATAATAAAAGAAAAACACTCATAAAAATTGATCCAATTTAGACCCTTTTATTTTTTACTTTTGCATTTCGTTGTAACCTGGGAGATATTCCCTGGGGTATGAATGTAATTTACAAAAAAGAGAAGACGAAAAAAGAGAACAAATGTAATGTAAATGAGTATGTTTGTATATATTCATAACAAAACAAAAAACCAAAATAATAAAGATACCATTCTCCGTTAGTATGCAGTTGATTTCTTCGCTACATTATACCGTAGAATTGCGAACTTGATAAAAAACAGAGAATATAAACAAAATTTAAAAATGCAATTTTTTTTCCAACCATCGGTGACCAACAGGCATATAAAATATAAAACTTGCAAAAATTTTGAGATTCGTCTTAAAATAGCTGTAGCGATGCTGTATTCTAAGTCCAAGGGAATCTGCAACTGAAGAAGTACTATTAAAATGTTCATAAATGCGGATTTTGCAAAATGGAAAATCAAATCGCTTTGATTCAAACCATTTTTCCCATTTCATATCGTCCTATTAAAAAAAAAGACAAATATCGCGGTTCTGTATCGTCTCTGTTAGCTGTAACCCTTTCATCAACTTAACACCCCCAGAAAAGCTATGCAAATAAAAAATTAATCTTTTTCTTTAAATATGAATCTATCGAAGACGTTGTTCTCAATTGTATTTATTTACAAATGGTCCTTAATTCTATCCTATATATATAAAAATAAAGAAAAGGTAATCTTTTTACATAAGATGCGGATTTGTCAATGAAAATGCATGGTTGAAGTCAAATATCACGAAAGAAGGAATCAAACAAATGATTTAGGTCTATGCCTTAGTTCACATAAATATTTTAATTTATTTACTTTATAGATATTAAACATTTCTAAATACTTATTTTAAATGGTTTACACATTAATTTTAAAAAAATATACATTTTATTTGCACTTTTTAGACATTACCTAAGGTTCCAGTACCTACCTTAGATCAAACATTAACAGAATATATTCGGATAATGGAACCTATTACAACTAAACAGCAACTTGAGCGGACTCAAGCTATTATCAAACAGTTTACATCACCAAATGGGTTAGGACCAAGGCTGCAGCAATATTTAATTGATAAAAGAGATAGAGAAGATAATTGGGTACGTATCACTGGGTAATCAAAAATTTTGTGTAAAAATATATATTAAAAATTATGAATTTCTTTCAAAATGAAGACGTTAAAAAGTTTTCGAGCTTTTAGTTGTTTTTGTTGGGGCTGTAGGGGGTGGGGTTGGAGGCATTGGTGGGGTTGAAGGACCTTCAGTTGTAGGGCCTATTGTTGGTGGAGTGGGCTCTGTAGATATTGTTGGTGGTGTTGGTTCGCCAGTCGGGTCCGGTGTTGGAGACGGGCCTGGTGTTGGAGTCGGTCCCGGGGTTGGACCTGGTGTTGGAGTCGGACCTGGTGTTGGAATTGGACCTGGTGTTGGGGTCGGACCTGGTGTTGGGGTCGGATCTGGTGTTGGGGTCGGACCTGGTGTTGGGGTCGGACCTGGTGTTGGGGTCGGACCAGGTGTTGGAGTTGGTGGCGTCCATTCACCTTGAGGAACACATCTTTGTACATTGAAATCGAACCATTTTTGATTTCCGCACTGTAGTCTATAAGATTCACCAATACCAATACATTGATAATAATGCTCTCTACTAGTAGGATCTGGCCAAAGCTTTTTTAATTCTGATTGATCACATTTTGGTGGGTTAGCAAAAACCAAACCAATTGTAATTCCCAAAATAAATAAAACTGCAAAAAATTACAAAAAAAAATATGATGTAATATAAACTATCAAGAATTTTGTATTATACTTGAAATTCAATTTTTAAGTGAATTAGTTTTTTACAATATTTTAAATTTGAATAAAACAATATTTGAAATTTGAATAAAAAGTAACTTTACTTTTCATTTTCAAATCGAATTTCGTTTTACGTGTAGTCCAAATTGTATAATTCGTGTTCAATGTAAATTTAGTTACAGTATTTCGCTTCTTATATAGCATTCTCTGATCATAATTTGTAAGATTATCTTTTCGGAAATAACGTAAGGCGGACATTTTTTTCACACAAAATTTAGAAGTGTTTTATCAATCATTTCAAATTAATAATTCCACTCCAGCACTTCAAAATTTCAAAAAAAAAAAATTTTCGTTATTTTAATTAAATTCCAATATTTTAATTATAATTTAATTAAAAATGTTTTTCATATTTTTTCTAAGTATATAAATTTTAAATAAATGTGGTTGATTTAATAAGATTAAGTTTAAACGCACATTCATATATGTTATCTTGCTTTCTGATATAATATAATAACAATTCGTAAGGTAACATAATAACTTTAAATGTGATAATGGAAACTTAATTTCATGTAAAACAATTAAATTCAAAATCGAATATTAAGGCTATGATTATTAAAAATTAATAATTACAAAATATGAAAAGAATTCTTTAAAATAAAGAAATATTTCTAAACATTCGTGCAAGTGAAATTATTTTTAAAAGTCCTTAATTTTTATAGGACAGTAATATTTAGAGGACGTCTATAACATTCATAACTCCTTTCAATTTGACAGGAGATCTGTAACAACAAGTATATTATTTGAGAGCATCAACTAAGACTTCATTCAAGTTAATAGTTTTAGGTTTTTATGTGCAAACCAATATTCATACAATTGAAACATAATATTTAAATTTCAATTCTCACACATAATATTGAGCACAACGTATGTAACATTCTTTTGAGCTCTAAAAGATAGATTTCTGAATATCAAGATATGTTTTTAAATTTTTTATTTGAGGTTTGATATTTTGTTTAAACTTAATTGTTTAAATTTTAAAATAAATTACATGTAACACGCAATACATCCGTATATGAGAATATAGCAAACAAGATTAAGAGTATTAAGTGGTAGATCATGTTGCTATTTTCATGAATTAAAAACATTCGACTTGTTTCAAAAATTCGTAATTTTACTAAATATTATAAATTATTCGTTTTCAAAACTACCTTTAAAAAAACACTTCAAGAGACGTTACACGAAGCTTACACCTAACATTTTAAAGTTATAACTAAAAAAATCCTGAACATAACACACCATCAAATTACGTTTCACATACCCCGGCGGAAGCACTTACGAGTAAGTAGATACTTCCAATTGTAAGAAACACTATGTATGTCATTTTAATAATTTATTCATTATCAAAATTTCCTAAAACTTACCCTATACACTTTTCATACAAAATCTTACACTATCTTCCAGTTTTCGCGTCTTCAGATCTCTAAAGTTTATTTCCTAATATTATTTCACATTTTTTTTGCTACACCATTCGATTATATCTCACTAATATTACAGTTAGTCCTCCATGGTTACCTGAACAAATTTTTTTGTACTTTTAGTGCGGAAACTATATCGCTATGAAAGATTGAATTTTGCTCAAATTTCTTTGCTAAAGATTGGAAAAACACTTCCACTAAAATTCTGTATTTAGGGTTCCAACAGGATACAGAACTCTTCAAGGGTAATGGTAATATCAACGAATTGTCAATTGGAATAGTCTTACTTTTTTATTTTAAATACATTTCGAAAAGCCTTGATGTACCAAATAAGAATATACCCTTGAGTTTGAAACGATAAGTCGAACGTTTCCTAACCAACACTTTCGGCCTTACTTGCCACTTAGTAATAGACCTAACACATTTTCTTAGTTTCATATATGAAACATACACATGCCCACATATTGTATCTTATATATAAGTTGCAACTTGCAACATTAAAAAATGAAAAGGAAAATTAGTATGCAACTAATCTTTGCGCATTTTAAAAACTTAAAATTTAATTTAAACATATTTTTATTAATACACTTTTATATTGTGGTTAAATTGGTCCAGCAGTTGTGGTCGATGATGATACCCAAGGTGATGTATCACATTCAGTTGTGCTTGTTGTTGTTACAGGAGTTGTTGTTGGTGTTCTATCATCTGGATGTACACATTTTTGTTGGACATAATCAAATAATTTATTCTCTGGACACTTTAATCGAATTGATTTTTTTATAGCCACACATTCATAATAATGCTCTTCACTATTTGAATCTGGCCATAGAGATCCAATTTCATATTCATGTTCACATTTTGGTTCTTCTCCAAGACTTAATGATCGAGACATTACCAGTGAAATTAAAGTTGCAAAAATTATTATAGCTGAAATTAAGATTTAAAATTCTTTTAGAACACATAAAACACAGTCGGTTATCATCTCAATATATAACAAAACAGTTTTGTGCAATTTTCAAATGCATAATACACTAATACTTAAAACAATTTTTGAAAATTTTTTTTTGAATTAAAATTTTTAATAAACATTAAAATTACATTTCATTTCGGTAATTTTGATGAGAAATTCCAAAAAATTATGAACTCAGATATTATAATAGTTATAAACAATGTGAAATATCTCTGAAAAATTAGCTATTTATATCTAAATTTTATATCAAAAGCATGTGTAAATTATCTAATTAGTATCAATTTCTAGATTAGTTTAATAAAAACATCTTATCATTTGTACAATAAAAAGCAATAAGCTTATTATAATGTTGTTTCCATACACTTATATGTAAATGCTATATATAAGTACACAAGAGTCGATCATTTATTTCAAAAGAATAAAATTTTTACGATTGACCACATTTAGAAATTTACTTAGAATAATAAATTAATTATTAATCCTATACCGCTCCAAATACAAATATTTTTTTTAATTTTTATAGCTGGTCTTCATTTTAAATCATTTGGATCACAATTGAAATTTAAATTGCCAAACAATAGGTTGGTTGGGGTTTTTTTGTTAGAATTAATAACAAATTTATAAAATAAAATTAAAATGTAAGCTTCTCAGGTTTCACACGTTTAAATTACACTTTTCTTTAGATTTTTCTTGCAAATTTGGTCCGTAATAAAAGTGTAGTTGCTGACGTATGATTTCGTCTAAAGTGTAACTAATTTTTCGTATTGTCCAAGGAAATTTTTATATCAAATTGTATGTTGAATAATTTTTTAAAAATGGTCAAATATGTAAAACAAGTAAAGTCGGTCCTTAAAAAGATCTAATTTTCAAGGTCTGGTATATCTCAAAAGTTGATCTAACCGTGGCATAACTAAAGTAAACTCTCATATAAAATTTCATCGAAATTGTTTTAACCAAACTTGAGATACGTATGTCCACACACAGAAAAAAAGACCAACAGGGTGTTAGGCCAACAGACAAGCAGACCGGCAGACAGACAGACCGACAGGTTGCTAAAAATAGTTTATTTACACTTCGTTTCCGTGGAGAAGAGTGTTTCCACCGAAAATTCAATATAGGAAATTTGTTGCAATCACATAACCTCCTTTAATCATTAATGCAGCACCTTTCATGCAATTTTTGGAGAAAATTTTAAAAACTGTCTCCAAATTTATTTTAGAAATTGTAAAGAAATATTATTAAAAGAAAACCTTTTTATTTTATAATGCAGCACTTTTAGCAGACTGGAAGTAGCGCAAAAATATTTTTTAAAAATTTATACAGTTTTCATGATCCTCACCTTCCAAAAAATACTTTCTAATCAACCATATCGTGAACTGTTTCAATCTTAATTTAGCTTAAAACTTCTATTTTTGCATAAAAAAAGGCTTAGTGGCTACTGTGCTAGCGAAAAAAACTTTACTTTTATACACATAAAGGAAAAGCAATATTAAATATTTAAAATTTGGGTGGCTGTATTATTAAATATTCCAAATATATTCAAAATTCACAAACACATATTCTATGTTAGATATTGAAAATTCACAAACATAAATCCGAAAAATTTTTTAATTTCATCTACAAAGTTATCACTAAATGGATGTTTTCAGTTTGAATTGCATATTTATTATAAAAGCCAACTATGCAATTGAAATTTTGCAAAGTCAAATATATCAACCTGACTTATGTGAAATATTTGTACCTGTATATAAAAACAAGAAAACATAAAGTTATCCGTGCCAACTCTGTGGTACCCGTACGAATGTTTTCCATGATTTAGTTATACAACAGCTACAGCAAAAAGGAAAATTTTTCATTCTTCTGCAATTCAAAAATTATAATTTCAAAAATATGAGTTAACGCAAAATTTTTTGTATTTGTACGGCTAATATAAAAGTTTTAATTTTTATAATTACAAGAACTTATGTACAATCATGACCAAATTTCTTCGAAAAATGTAAAGTATATTTTATAGTTTTCGAGATATGTATTATCAAAATGATATGAATTTGCATCGCAGCTATGGTAAAAACCTATTTGTATCTATATTTGGAATCTTTATTTTTGTTTCAAACGCAAACGGAATGTTAAATTTGTAATACCCTTCATATATTTATTCCTAAGGTTATTGAAATCTCGTTTTTGAAAAACAATATATGGAAATAAAAGGTATTAACAAATTAACAAGCTTGTTAAATAAATCAATAGAAATTTTTAAATCGTTAATATACTAAATTAATAAATATTATATAAGTTTATTTTAAAAACTGGAAACAAAATATTAAAAGTTATCTTACATTCTACACATATCTAATCAATATTTGATAAAGCATTTCTTAATAATTTCCTAAATTTTTGATTTATATCATTTTCTATAACTAATAATGATTCAGTCGGTGCCGTTGGAATTGGTGTTGGCGGTGTTGGCCTGGATGGGCTTTCTGTTGAAGTTGTTGTTGTTACAGTTGTATTTGATGTTGTACGTGTAGGTGCTGTAGGTGGAGTAGGTGTTCCTTCTGTCGTTGGTTCAGTAGGTTCATTCGTTGGTTCAGTTGGTTCAGTAGGTTCATCAGTTGGTTCAGTAGGTTCATCAGTTGGTTCAGTAGGTTCATCAGTTGGTTCAGTAGGTTCATCTGTTGGCTCAGTAGGTTCATTTGTTGGTTCAGTAGGTTCAACGGTTGGCTTAGTTGTTTCGATTGTTGGTTTTGTTGGTTCAGTTGGATTTGTTGGATTAGTTGGAGTAGTATCTGTTGGTGACTCAGTTGTGATTGGAGGAGTCCACTCATCTGGGTTTACACAAACTTGTTTATTAAAATCAAACCATTTCTTACTTCCGCATTGTAATCTATATGGTTCACCAATATCAAGGCACTGATAGTAATGTTCTTTACTGTCTGGATCAGGCCAAAGTTGATCTACTTGCTCTTCTGTACATTCTGGTGCAGAATATAATGTGAATGATTTCCCAAAAATGATGGGAACTAAAGCTGACAATAAAAGTATAACTGCAAAAATGAAAATATATTCGGTAAATCAATTGAATAATTTGGAAATTTAAAAGCAAAATAATTAAACATTTTAATATTTCATAAATAAATTATTTATAAAAGTAACACAGCTATGTATGCAATTTAATCGTTCTAGTAATTTTAAATCGTCGCAATAATAGAAATATTTGGTGTAGATTAAAATTTTGCCGCAATTAATAAAAAATTTTAAATGAATTTAATTTGTTCAATTTACCTTTCATTTTTGTTCTTAATAACTTTTTGTTTATTTTTCTTTAAAAATCTATATAAAACTAAATATAATGTCGCAAAAATTTAGGATTTTATTTAGAATATTTCTATTTTTCATTGTAAATACCTGTATATAAATTTTAAATTCCATTTATACCGAACTATTAATAACAAACATAAAAATGTCAAGATAGTATTGAAATATTAAGCAAGTATTTATGTAAAATTTTTAAATTTTTATACGGTAATAGATTATCTTTCTAATGATTAGATTATATTGCTCCCTTATTTTGCTCATTCACAATATTACATTAAATTTATAAACATCATTTAAAATTTTAAACCATAGCGTGATTCATTAAATTTTCATTGTTTAGCTCTAATAATCGTTAAAAGGAACAATTTGTTTTCTTAAATTTCTATTTAAACCTTTTATTTTTGGGAGTAATTTAGTGAAATCAAGAATCAGAGGTTCATTATGCTCTTTAAAAAATGGGAAAAGAGCGTTTCAGGATTCTTCTTGAAATATGTCAGAAGCGCGCTTAAGTATAGGTTTAATATTAATTTCTCCTCCAATTCTTCTATTCTAACTATACAATAAAACCACTCCTTCATTACTTTCTATAAAAATTCATAAATTTTACTCTAATTTTTATTGGTTTGCAAAACATTCAAATCATTTCAACTATTTTTCTTATTTACATAAAATTTTGCAAAATGTAAAAGTTACAGCATTATTATCTCAACAATAACACATATATATACATGTATATATGTATGTATATAATATGTATGTACATATATATATATATATAAGTATATATATAAGTATAATGTTTATACAGGATATCTCGTATCTAAACTTTTGTGTGGAGACAATGTTTACAGCTAAACAGATACAAAGTTACAGAGGCTTAAAGTTAATTCTGATTGATTTTTCATTTTTTACTAATTTTAATAATCTGTGCCTATGTCACACAAGCGCATTATAAAATATGACTTGAAAACCCTTGATTAAGGGCTTTCCAATGAATTTGTTCAGATTTCGGAATAACATGACTTTAAAATTCATAAATTTTAAATTTTAACTTTTTATTTCTAAAGTAAGACGCTAATTTTCAAGGTAAACCTTTACGGAAACCAAAAAATGAACCAAATCAAAAATCATGAACTTTATTGTTTATAACGTTACTTATTGGAAATCATCAAATATTTAAATTTAATACTTAAGAATTATTCATAGCTATTTTCACAGGTTTAAATTTAAATAATGATCTCTCATTATGAAATTCGTTCTAGTTCATTTGAGTTGAATGTACGAAATAGCTGTTATACAAATTATAGAATAGTTACTAAGTGAAACGTCATAATATTTAAAATGAATTTTTAAACGGCACTTATTTTCAGTCTACCCTTACTTATACGCAAAAATTTAACTGGCATATCTATTGTTTGCACTTGAAATCTATAAGAATTTTCACTATAAATACTAGATAACATTATTGTATTTTGTTGTTTGTTTATGTGCATATTGACAAGTATTATAAATTTGAAATTTAGCTCAATATGCTGTTATGTACAATGTGTTGTTATACAAAAATATTAACAAAATTTAATTTTCTGAATTAACTTTTTCTATATTACTTAACTCAATTGATTTTGTAAATTTTAAAATTTTTTTTCTTCTTTTGTTGCTATGTACATACACACATTATGTACTTAAAATTCGATGATATATACATATGCATATATGAATTTTTATTTTCCCATTTTCTAGCATAAATAATTTAATTTTAATAAAATATGTAATTGCTAATGTATTTGAATTATCTTATAGATTTATTTTGTTAAATTATGCTACAAAAACTGCAAAATTCATCGCTCGAAATTTACAAGTATTATTCAAT